CATTTACTATAAAGTTAAAAGAAAAATTATAAAATCTCTTGAAGTAAAAAATTTTAATTTTTTAAAATGAATATCCTGAAATTCATAAAACATTATTTAAAATATTAAAACCATAGATTAAGCAGAAGACAGTCTATAAAAATTAATTTTTTCAAATGATTTTGATATTGCCAAAATCAAAACTGACAGAAAGCACCACTACAGAATAGATTGAAATTTTTGTCTGTTATCCAAAAATGTATAAAAGTTGAAATTTTAATCCAAAATGTGATTTCTGGGTATCAAAGTATTGTATGAAAGAGCAAGTTGTCTAAATGTCAAGAATTCATTGTATAGGCCTGTCTTAGTTAACTGATATTTGAGCCATCCTGTATACTTTCCCAGAAACTTATCTGACATTTAATACATTTTACTATTGTCTTTTGTGTGCAACTCAATATCTATTCCACCTGCATAATTTTATTTCTTTTCAATGCATTTATGATATTAAATGGAGAATATAATTTATTCTTCATTTAATATCATAAATACAGAAAATTAAAATTATTATTTTTTATACTTTTACAAGTTCATTGACATTTTAGAATATATAGATTCAATGCATTAATAATTATTTTTACTCTGTCTAAAATGTATACAGAGTATTAATTCTTAGTCTTTTACATTGTTGATTATTTAATGTTTTTATAATAATCAAATTTATATATTTATTAAATAATAACAATAAGATATTATGAATTTAAAGGTTGAATTATTTGTTCTGGAATATTCCGTAGAGATTTTGTCGACCTTGACCTATTTTGGCAGATGCTCTTCACAAAAATGAGGCCGTTTTTGGCACCGACCAATATTTTGTGGTGTGGAATCTGTCAACTGTAAATATGGCCTTCATATATATATATAACGGTTACCTGACATTTTCATTGTCAAAAATTTCACAGAGTAATAAAGCGTTTGTAGTTCAAGCAGGTGTTCGTTTCTCTATCACGAAAAGTGTAAAACTGCATGTGTTTTTGGTACTAAATGTTGCAGCAGATATTGTTAAAGATGTTTAGTTATGAGTTGTTATGAGTCATCCTCTCATTAAAAAATTATAAATAGTAGTTTATCATTATTTTTTAATACAATTAATTGCATTGATAGTATTTTTTATATTATTTTACTTCATGATATTTGGAATCAAATGACATTTTTATCACACACAAATTTTGAAATCTTGCAGAAAATTATTTAATTATCTTTTAGCAATCAACATAATGATAGACCTAAGGCATATTAAAAATTTTAATTATAGAAAAAGAAATATAAAACTGTCCAATTCATCTATATAAGTTTAATTCTGATTTTCATTATGTTTGATTTTATAGTTGTAGAAAGTGATTAAATTGGAGAACTTTAAAGTTTAGACTTTGGAAAAAATTTTAATGAAGTTGAGAGGACCTAACCTACATTGACTTTCAATGGAAGAACTTCAAAAAATTCATGGATATGATTAAATGGTAGTAAATGGTTAAATAATTACCTCATTAAACAACAATTTTCTATTTTACACTTTATTCAAAGTATTATAACGTACTGTACTATAGCATGTTAAGAAGAAAATATGTTTTATGTAGTTAATGCAAAGGTATGTAAATGTAACACAAATATAGTAGATATGGCAGAAATTACTAAATTTTCAAGCAAAACTCAAAATATAAGAAAATTATTCTTTATTTTTTAAATATTCTAAATTCAAGTATTCTGGAATCTTTTACCCTTGAAGATGATTCAGGAAGACTCAAAAGGATAAGAATATTTAAAGAATTTGTTCAAAGAAAGCATAATTTTCTTATATTTCAAATTTTGCTCAAAGTTTTGGCAATTTCTACTACATTCATCAAATTTGTGTTATCTTTACATATGTATTAATTAAATACATAAACATAGTTTACTTCTTAACATGCTACAATAGATACATTTTAAACAATTTAATAAATTGAACATCTTATATGCTGAAGATAAGGTTGGAAGGCTCATAAGTGCTTGAGTTTTGAGTATGGTAGAACTCTGATTAACCATTGTTCCTCATTACTCAAGGCAAACCCATAAGCAAATACTGTACACTACTTTTCTTATACTGTAATTCATAAAAGAAAGTTTAAAATGATAACATGTATTTTAAAATGATTTGTTTTGTCACCTTCAGTTAACTTCAATGTGAGACAAATTATTTCTATTAAAATGTAACTACAATAATATATTATTGTAGTTACATTTTAATTTTTATTTTTAAAAATATTGTGCATGTACTAGCTGTATAATAAATTATGNTTATGGCACTTCTTACTGTCTGTAGCCATGCATGTGAGTCTCCTATGCTTTCTTCATTTTGGGAGAAGACTAAACAAGAGTGCCAGTCTTTGAGTGATTGGAAATGACAAAATGCCATTGTGTATTGCCATTTACAATAGTTTTTAGTCTTATTACTTATTTGAATTTAGTTAATATGAAGTTTGCATTTTTTATTCCCCTGAACTTCATAATAAAGAGATTTTGCTGTATATGAGTTTTGTATAAATTGCTAAGGCTGGGTTTACACTGGCACAAAAATCACTACAAAGTTGATATGAATTGGCAATTACTTCCTTTTGGGAAATGTTTGACAAGTTCATTAGGAGTTGAGAATATCTTGACTTTTGCTGAACTTTGTTTCATTTGACCAATTGACTTTTCACAGATAGTGTTCGAAACCTCTATAAAGCATTTAAAATATTTATACTGTCCATAGCACATAAAATTAAATGATTTGAATACTATAAATGATTTGAATACTATAAATGATTGATTACAAATGTTTTGTTAACAAGTTTATTCATATCTATTTCTGCCATTGTATACCATTTAAATGTGCCTAGTGTCAACTGATATTTTTTACTATGGTTAGAGTCATCTTTTATATAATTGTCAATCATCATGAGTGCACTAATTTACTTAAATTTTTTATATTATTTTACTTCATGATATTTGGAATCAAATGACATTTTTATCACACACAAATTTTGAAATCTTGCAGAAAATTATTTAATTATCTTTTAGCAATCAACATAATGATAGACCTAAGGCATATTAAAAATTTTAATTATAGAAAAAGAAATATAAAACTGTCCAATTCATCTATATAAGTTTAATTCTGATTTTCATTATGTTTGATTTTATAGTTGTAGAAAGTGATTAAATTGGAGAACTTTAAAGTTTAGACTTTGGAAAAAATTTTAATGAAGTTGAGAGGACCTAACCTACATTGACTTTCAATGGAAGAACTTCAAAAAATTCATGGATATGATTAAATGGTAGTAAATGGTTAAATAATTACCTCATTAAACAACAATTTTCTATTTTACACTTTATTCAAAGTATTATAACGTACTGTACTATAGCATGTTAAGAAGAAAATATGTTTTATGTAGTTAATGCAAAGGTATGTAAATGTAACACAAATATAGTAGATATGGCAGAAATTACTAAATTTTCAAGCAAAACTCAAAATATAAGAAAATTATTCTTTATTTTTTAAATATTCTAAATTCAAGTATTCTGGAATCTTTTACCCTTGAAGATGATTCAGGAAGACTCAAAAGGATAAGAATATTTAAAGAATTTGTTCAAAGAAAGCATAATTTTCTTATATTTCAAATTTTGCTCAAAGTTTTGGCAATTTCTACTACATTCATCAAATTTGTGTTATCTTTACATATGTATTAATTAAATACATAAACATAGTTTACTTCTTAACATGCTACAATAGATACATTTTAAACAATTTAATAAATTGAACATCTTATATGCTGAAGATAAGGTTGGAAGGCTCATAAGTGCTTGAGTTTTGAGTATGGTAGAACTCTGATTAACCATTGTTCCTCATTACTCAAGGCAAACCCATAAGCAAATACTGTACACTACTTTTCTTATACTGTAATTCATAAAAGAAAGTTTAAAATGATAACATGTATTTTAAAATGATTTGTTTTGTCACCTTCAGTTAACTTCAATGTGAGACAAATTATTTCTATTAAAATGTAACTACAATAATATATTATTGTAGTTACATTTTAATTTTTATTTTTAAAAATATTGTGCATGTACTAGCTGTATAATAAATTATGCAAAAAATGTCCTTATATATTTTTAAAATTTATTCAAGTGAAAAAGAAGCCTAAAAGTACTATACCATATAAATCTTTTATATTCATAACTTTTAATTTGAAATGGCTGTGGTCATTTGAGTTTTCGGTTATCTGAGGTAGCATTACCTTGCATAATCTGGGATTTACTACATTTAAAGAATTCACTTCAATTAAACTTATATTTACATAAACAAAACTATGTAAAGGTCATAAAAATGAAGTGATTTAATAAAATAATTTAAAACAAGTCAACATAAAACAATTCAATAAATTATTTTTAACAGATATTTGGTTATCTTCTGGAGAAGACTTTGCAATTCTTATAGTGCCAATAACATCAAAATAATTGTACTTTTAATACATGGACATTTAATTTTTTAAGTTATTAATAAGAATTTGTTATATATTTAGTTACAGTACATTTAATTTTTTGAATTATAATTTTATAGGATAGTACAGTTAAGGCAGAAAATAATATGTTGGATTATTATGAATGCATATCTTAATTTAAATACTTGTATATGAAATAAGTTATACTACAAAAAATAATAATTTCAAATAGTACTTTTATAAAAGTTTCCAGAAATAATTTCCTAGCAATAACACACTTTGAGGTCTTTCATCATTTTGTGATATGCAATACAAATTAGCAATAAAATAATTTATCATCAATATACAGTCTGACTGTATATTGATAGGTTGAATAGATAAATAGCTTTAGTTAGTCTTCATAAGTGTGTTTTAACTGTTTTAATATAAGTGCATTAATGTTTGATTTTTCTAAAGACTTGTTTCTTCTTTTCATATTTAGAATGTACAGTAATTGTGACTATTCCAGAGTTTTGGGAATTTATTTACCAGTTTTGAAGATGTGAAAATTAAATTTATTTACAAATGGAAGCATGCAAGATAAATAAGAGAAGTAAGTAGCTATCATTTCTGATTGTAACACTTTATTTTTAAATAAATACTGAATAGATAACATTTTTACAAATTAAGACTTCTTTGAATGTCCCATACAAAACAGATACATATATGTTTACAAACAGTTAACTGAGAGCTCTGTGCACAGACAGGTTTGATACACACAACTGTACAGTGTCTATGGTAATGTTTCTAAATACAACAGCGGCCAGAGATTGAACTCCTTAGACAGTTATTCACAAATGCATTAAACACAGCGTTTATTAAACAGCTTTTATTGTCTTGTTAGGACACCGACTTACCATATCAAAACCAAAAACAATTTTAAAAAATTAAATTAAAAAGTAAATTGACACTTTGTTTTTTATTTACTTTGGTTGACCCTGTAATATAATACCCAATTTTCATGATAAAAAATAAGGATCAAGGAATTTTTTAAATTAAAACAACATATTTATATAACTTATTATATAAGGAAACAAAACAAATGAGCTTACTGTGATGAGAAACTTAAAGCAACTCCACACAGTCATAAACTAGACTATTTTACCCTGCCAGCTTTAATTTTTTCTAGAATATAGCTACCGGCTGGTATAAGGTAGCTTTGCTTTGCTGCAAGTACGGTTTTTATCTAATCCAACAGATGGTGACTAAAATGGGAAATTTGGCAAAAACAATGACATGGTATGGCTCCACTCCCACTCTTTGGTTTCAAATAAACTCAAAATATGTTTATAAATATATTAATTAATCTCTTAAAGGTCTTAGAATATAATTTCCAATTAATATCACAAATATCAGTTAATATTCAAGTATATTGAAAAGAAATAATATCATGCAGTTGGAGAGGTATTAAAATATACAAAAGGTATAAGAGAATAGCAAAACATATTGAGATGTTGAGATAAATTTATGGAACAAGTATATACATGGCCAATTTTACCTAAATATATGGCACAAAAAGGAGAGAGCATGTTTAGTTGTAGTAAAATTTAACATTGTTTCCAAATAAATGAAATTGTAAAAAATCCTGCTTTTAAAAAAATATACAATTTTAGTGACTTCATTGGCAATGTAAATATTTGTTTTGATATACTATATATTAACTATGAGAACATAAATTGAGCTATTGACATAATTTATATAAACATCTGAAAATAAAATTTTTTGTACAAGTTAATTTCTCATTCAGTTTTTACATTTCTCAATAACTGACATTACAAAGACTCGGGTATGTAAAAGTGATACTTTGTTGTTATTTATTATACACAAATTCTAAAGAAAGAACTCAAACTATGTGCTGTAATATAATAGTAAACTAATATTTATAATAATGAATTTCAGTCAGATTTGTACTTCTGATATTTATATGGCAATTTACTAAGTAGTTAAATTTTTGCAAAGATTATTTAATTAAAAATTTTTCAAATCAAATTCAAATGCTCATCCTTTTGCTTTAAAAATATCAATTTTGACGAATGAGTTTTCGAAGTTTTCGAAACCAAATTTTGAGTAAAAGTCAGAATAAGAATTACAGTTATTTAGCAAGTTAGTCTTTTAAATTGACTAGATACGATTTTTTCTTTTTGCACTTTTCTAAATTTTAATCCCTTATAAACGTATACTGGTAATGCTTGGCCAATGAAATGACATTATTGCACTCTTGCTTGTTCCATTTGTATTTTCAGAGAGTTCACAGTTGGTGGATATTTATACATAATATATTAATTTATTTTAACATGCTACAATATAGCATTAAATTATATTGTCTAATACTGTTAGCTATGTAATAGTTTAAATTTTCATTGTTTTAAAATCAGTAAGATTACAAACTAAAAATATAATTCAACATTGATACATAACAATTCTAGGTAAGCTAGTAAACATCTCTTTTATCTTTGGTATATTTATAAATAGTAACGAAATTCTTTTAATCATTTTTAATGTTAAAATAAAATGGCATAAACAAATATGAGAAATATTTATTGTGGCTTAGCCTAAACATGAATCAAAGAAGTAATGTATAAATTTAAACACAATTTTTAAATGAAATTCTAATAATTTTTAATTAAACAAGATATTTTTTTCAATATATTATTGTCATAAATTGAGAGTACTTAAATAATGATGAGAATTTGTAATTTTTATAGAATTAGCTGACAATATCACAGCTTTTACAATTTGCATTCTCTACAAAGAGATGCAAATATATAACTACAAATTTTCAACATTATCATTCACATTTTTTATCTCATTTTCAAATTTTATGTTTTAGAATTAAAAGAATTTAGTTATCTATTTTATCAAAACATATATAATTATAATTACATATATATAAATATATATATTTATATTAAAAGTCACTTGAATGTCTGCAACTTTTAATTCAATAATATCAAACAATATAACTTAGTGGAGTTGTCAGCCATACCTTCAGTTGATACATAGTATTTGAAAACTAAATAAAAATAAAAGGTTTCTATTAAAATAACAAAACTCATTATTTTTGGAAAAGAGCAGCAAAGACCCTAGTTGTTTGACCTACTTAGCCGAATATAAATATTTGGTATGTTTAATGACATCTAAGATCTTTTAGGACATTGATAACAGACCATACATTTAAAAACAAAGAGAAACAAAACAAAACGTACTGCTAGGATATTTTCCGTTGTTTTAAGGCAACATACAACAGCTGCCATTAACAATCACTGCACAATTCGAATGGTTGGTGACTAGAATGCACCCGTAGATCCACTAGATTTGTTAGGTAAAGTCTACGGGTGCTTGCTTAAATAAACAAGTGAATAATGTTTTATGTTATCTGATATAATGACTAGTGAATGAAAATGTGCAACGAAATTATTATACAATAAACATGCTGCACTACAATGAATGATATAGCACATAAATTGTCTTAGTTTGAATATGACAACAAATAAAAATTTCTATGGTCAGAATTGCAGTTCTGTGGAAATACAGTGCAGCCTACGACTCGATGCTACAGGAACTTGCTTTACTTTTTCCTATTTACAATGCTGCATCACAATAATGAGTTCAATGACCATCCGATGAACACCAATGATATTGAAGTCTTCTCTTTATAGAGATTGAAAATGTGAGCAATGAAATCATCAGCAATGAATATGAAACAGAAATAATTAGCCATGCAGCATGAACGTTTTAATGTTTATTTTCGGGAGTGGGTTTGATATCGATCGAACCAGTTCTTGTGGGACTCGGACTTCTTTTCAGTACCGTGCTTCCGGTCACTTGTGTGATTGCTGATGTCCCACCAGTTGTTGCCTGTGTCACGGATGTTGTGCCCACATTTAGATTAGCTGACTGACCACAGACTCGATGATGATTTTCCCAATCTTTGTGTTGACAGAAAGCACCACAGTATCGGGCAACGTTACATCCACTGCATGTTTCATTTGCCTTGCGGCCACAGTTCCAACATGTCTAAGGGAAACAAAGCAATTCAGGATTTTATGATACAATATTTGCAAATTATTTAAAATAAGCAAAATTTATTAGTTAAAACTTTAATTACATTTTATGAAATTATATGAGAATTAATTATCTTAAATTTATAACTTTAATCTTCAAACTATGAATTAAAAGATATGTTAAGCTATAAAAATTTGATAAAACCACGATAACACCTGTTGTTATACTTTTACTTTCCTCACTTTTCATCCGAGATAAACTTTAATAACAATAAATTTTAAAAGACTTTAAAAACTTTACTTTGTGTTATTTTCTTTAGTTTTCTCATAAATGCATTTCGATCTTCTGATCCTCATCAGCATGTTAATACATTTCATAGAACAAATACTTCAATAGAACAAATTGTTCCAAATTTCTTCATTACATTCATTTTCTTATTCATTTTCATTCAATTTCTTCGTTACATTCATTTTCTTATCTGTTTCATCTACTGATGAGGATCAGAAAATTGAAATGCATTTATGAGAAAACTAAAGAAAATAATGTAAAGTAAAGGTTTTAAAGTCTTTTAAAATCAATTTATTGTTATTAAAGTTCTCCTTGGATGAAAAGTCAGGAAAGTAAAAGGATAACAACGATTTTATTGTGGTTTTATCAAATTTTTATATTTTTAATATAATTTACAAAAATATCTGACTTAGGAAAATTTATTCTTATCTTTTTAATTTACCAAACTTTTTTAATAGATTTCATATATTAAGCTATTTTCAAATTCATCTATGAAACACCAATTTTAATGTAATGTGCCTAATTTAAAATATTTTAAACTTAACTATACTTATACTTTAAACTACAAGAATGTTTTACCTGCTATTTAAAAGTGCCATATTTAATTTCATCAATTATTAAATTTATTTATAATATAAAAATCAAAATATAGCTTTTATTTTTTACCTCTGTGGAATCTTCCTGTTGATTAATTGCTGCTAAAGCTTCTTCAGCCGCCTGACGCCTAGCTTCACTCAGCAGCCGTTCCATCTTTGCTCTTTCGACAGCCACTAGTTCACTGGCTTTAGTTTCTGCCACCGACACCGCTTTTTGGAACTCCGCAACCGCCTGCCTTTTCACTTCATTTACGGCTTCTTCCGGAGGTGCAAGAAGAGGTGGTTGTCTCTGGATGAGTGGTAGTTTCATCATTGTTTCAGCTGCTAAAAGATTAAATAAACAAATCAGCCTCTAAACATTAAATAATTTTCATTGACTTCTATGACATATACTAAGTATGTATATTTTATCAAATAAGTATTTTATTATATATGTATAATTATAATAAAATTAAAGATAATTTCTGAACCTAGAATTCTATATCACCAAATTTAGATTGTTAAAATTAATTAAGCTCATTGATAAAAAAAAAGTTATGCATAGAGATAGAATTGTCTAATTACTGCAAAACATTGCATGCAAATATATCTCAGACTGCTTTCTAAACAATTACAATTGTAGTCCAATTGCACACCAGGTAATGCAACCAGTCCCTTAAAATTTCCCAGTATCCTATAAAAGGCTTGCAGAGGTTCACACCTTTGCAAGCCTTTTATATCTTTAAAGTCTTAGAAATTTTTTGATGTACCTGCTGTTTGGAGGTCTTCAAATGCCAGACATGCCTGTACAATGCAATAAAAGACATTATTCACAATTGATGGAGTTTGACAAAGACCACGTCATCAGGCTGGAAGTAAGATGGCTGTTTTGCCAACCTCTCACCATGTACGTTCCTCTGTCCTGACTGTAAGAAGATGTTGAAGCAGTGGATACATCAGGCAGACCCTGGATGCTCTAGGCAGATCACCAGGAGAAAAGATCACCTGATCATATGACAAAAACAAACACTTGTAATGGCAGTTTTGTCCATCATCCAAAGATTGGTAGAAGCATTGCCACAGGATCCTATCTCTTTAGATACCATTAGCAGAGGAAAATTTGTACATATAGCATTTAGCAGAGGAAAATTTGTACATATGACTACTACTAAATGTCCTACTATTAGCAACCCAACATCACTGGCTTCATTTGCAGCAGGGCCTTTATGGAAAAGTATAGACTGCTAAAGACTGCCTGACTTTAGTGATGAATCTCAGTTCTGTTTGGGAATGGATGACCATCATGTTAGTGAAGTGGGCCATTCAGTGCTTCATTCCCACCTTTACTATTGACAGGTACAGTGTCTCCACTGTTGACACATGCTGGTCTGAGGAGCTATCTCATATGACAATCAATCATCTCTGGTAATAGTGCAAAGGACATTGATAACACAGCTCACATTAAGGAAATCTTGCACCCTTGCATTGCCTTTCATGGCATGACTGTAAACAGACATTTTCCAGCAAGATAATGCTTGATCACACACATCTAGGGTTTGCCAGGAACGTCTTTGTCATTTTACCATACTTGCTTGTCCTGCCCAGCCTTCAGATTTTCTCCCATCAAGCATTTATGGGACCAAATGTGATGCCAGCTTAGGCCATCTATGAATGAGAAGGATCTGGAATGGCAGTTGCAACATCTGTAAACAAATCTGATGCAGAGTAGCATACAGTGCAAGTGTGTTTCCATTTTAGACCTTATTGTTGAATATTTTTTGCCAAGAGAAGGTTTTACAATGTTCCTTTAAATTGTACTGTTGCTCGACAGGAAATTGTCACATTGCCATGGTATTGTAATGACTTATTACCATCATCATTACATTTGATTCTAATACCTCCTTCTTGATGCATAACTTTTCTGTCAATAAATGTATTTTAAATTATCCTACACAAACAAAATTATTATAATGAATATCATTACCAATTCAATGATTACAGAATTACATTGTAATACTTGTTGTTAATAACTAACTTTTAATAACTAAGTAACTGAATACCCAATACTAAACTGATATAATATTGTGAACATTACAGTTTGATAAAAGTATTTTTATTAAATCAAAACTGATGAGTATTTTGCAATGGATTTTTTTGTCAATTTTTACAAATTGAATATTTTTTAATTAAATATCTTTAATTCTACATTCTTCTAAATACTGATAAAATAAAACAAGTTGTATATATGAAGGTAGGATTTTTTACAATTATCTGCTTGGAGTAGCATTTTGAACAGATTTTGTTTTCTATAATTTAAAGAAAAATTGTTCAAGTTTTATTTATATTTCTTAATAATTGGCATCTTAAATTTAATTCATTCAGATGTAATTTTAATAATGTGAAAGATTGCATCTTTATAATGAACTGTTTTGAAAGTTTTACATTAAAGAGAGTGTGAAACCTTTCATTCATTATTAATGAGTTTTATATTTAGTGCATTTAACATTTCATACTGAGAGAGTAACAGGGAGATAATATGTATGTTTTGAATAAGCAAAATTTCCAATTATTTTCTAAAATGAGTTAATGGTTTTGCAAAGAGAAATGCATGAATATAGATTTATTTAGACTATGAAGTTTAAATATCTAAATTAAAATTAAAAAATTTTGCAATTTTCTGAACTACAGAACTGTTTTCTGAGATTTAAATTACTAATTATCTTTAAATTTTCATTTTAAAATTTGTGGAACATTCAGTTACAAGAATACATTACTGTAAGACCATGTCTTAATCTGTTCTAAGCATAACTTTAGTAATATAAATAACTTAAAATACAAAAGATACAAAAGATTGTTCTGTAATTTTTAAAATAAAATATTCCAAGATTGTTTCTAAGGTTTTTTGAACAATCATCAAGTTAGAATGCATCAGTTATTAATTTTTCTTCCATATCCATTCTAATGCTTAACTATTAAAGACTTTCTGTATTCTTTCCAATAAATTTATTGGTATTTTCAGTGTTACCACATATCAGAAAGATATCAGACATGATAAATCTTATTTGATGTCAATTTTTCAAAAAAAATTTGTCTTGTCACATGGACAGTTTCATGTTTAGGACTGCTTTAGTTAGAACAGGGTCCTTTTTCATTTCTATTATTCATGTAATATATTTTTCATTGTGATATTGATATATTCTTCTAAGTATATACTTAGTTCAAAAATCTCCCTAATATGTTTTATTTATATTACCATAGCAACAATTAAACACATTGTTATGATAATATGTGCTTGACACTAGATGTTCAAGAATTGTTTTTGAAAGCTTTTTTTGTGATTTAAATCTCAAAAATGGGTGTATAAACATATTAGAAGCTTTGATATTTTTTAATATTTATGATTATATTAAAATATTCATAATTGGCACATTCTCAATTAATTAATAATATACAATATACAATATTCAAGTTGAAATAATAAATCTAAACATGAAATCAAGGTTAAGATCATTTTAAATTAAAATAAATTTTTACAAATACTAAATATATTAATTTGTTGTTGTAAGATGACAAGTTGACTTCTTAACTTAAATCATGTGAAACAACAGCCTTAGGGAATACAAAAGAATGTTGTTCCAACTCTTTGAAAGTCATCTTTGTAATTAATTCAATTGTTTATGATTTATCTACAAATTTAATCCTATACTAACTGAATTCTAACAGTATAGATAAAATACATTTTTATTGCTAATTTTAAAAGTAAAATCACAATTACAAAAAAAGATATATATAACATAACTTTTTTCTTCATATTATATGTGCATTCAGTGCAGCATATATTGGAAAGCAGAAGAGCATTATGTATATATATTTTCAACGTTTTTAAACATTTAAAATTATAATTTTATAACTTGTCTTAAAAGTTTAAAAATGTTGAATATGAATGAATTAATTGAATATAGAAATGAGGATCCCATAAATATTTTCATTATTAAAAATGCCAAAACATATCTAAAAACTAGATTATTTTTTGGCTAAATGAAGTCATTTATTAATGAATTAAATTATGTAATTTGATTAATTCTTGTCTTGTTCAGTTTATAGATGTACTTTGTTTTGGCTGTTAGAGATCAGGTTCTGGTTATATTAAAAAAAATGTTTGCATGTTTAGTATGAATAAAGTTATATAATGAAATGTTTTATAAGCCAATAATATATATTTAAAATTGATATAAAAATTAATTACTTCTGTTGAAAATATCTTTCTGTATTTAGTAATTTCTGTTTTAAATGGAATAAGTACATTTTTCCAATAGAAGAAATTTAAGCTATTTTATTTAAAAACTTTTTATATTTTTAACTATTGGCAAAAAGCTTAATTTTGAGGATAAGGATAAGTCAGTCTTAATGATGATTTTATTTGTTATTAGCATTTACAATATTTTTAAGCTATTTTATTGCTGTTAGAAGAATATCATGGGTATATAACCATAACTTTATTATTGAAAAATTGCAAAATTAAGAATATTCCTATTATGTTCAATGAATTGTAAACAGATACCTAAAATTTTAAATGATTACATAAAATAAGCAAATTTTTGGTTAATTCAATTTTTGTGCTTTTAGCATTTTGTGTGGATAACCCATGACGGTGTACACCCCGTGGAAAATTGCAAAAACAAAAATAAAACTCTTAATCTGCCTCACCATATACCCCGTGCCTCCGGATGACTGTCAAAAGCAAGATAATTACTGGTATGCAGTTTAGAATTTGCCATCTCAAGCATCAAAATATTGCTTTTTCTATTTCCTTATTTCTGTTAACAAATAATTGTAGATATAAATAAACAACCAATCCTAAATATTCTGTAATAATCATATTATTTTCTGGATTTTCCAGACTATAATTTGGTTAAGTATTAATAATTAACAAAAAATAATTTTTTTTAAAAAGTAAGTGAATAGACTGTTGTCTTATACTAACATTGACTAATAATTACAAAAATTTTGAAGTTTTGAATTAAATTTAATTCAAAATAATAATTAACAAAATCAAAAATAAATATGACATTATCTTTTTCTGCTTTATTTTTTAAAGTCTAATGTAGAAATCTATTTACCCGTGTACTCACACCTCTGTAATTCGATTGTAGGTGTTTTATGAACTGTCCCAAATATAAATTAAGTGTAAAAATAAATAAATACAATTATCATTTTTATTTTGTGACTGATTTCATTTGTCCAGTAATAATAGTAAGAGAAGCATTTAAAAAATTAAAGTGGAAATGATTTTATTATGAGCAATTATTTATTGTGATATTGTCACAATGCTGGGCTACAATTTT